TTCCTTAAAACTCCTGCTCCTTTTCCTTATTTTTTCTCCTTCATGAAATACGAAAAATGTCCTACTGAGGTTTCAAACTAATACAAATACCCCTATTCCATCACAGACCTCTGAACAATGCAATGTGTAATAGGGACATGTACAACCCCTTGAATTGGGGTCCAAAAACCAAGGACATAAATGCAGGATGGGGGACAGAGATTAGAAGCAAAATGTGAGAAGGTTCTCGGCATTCTTTTTGCCTCTACTCAAGGTGACAAGATTATCCAAAAAGTTAGTAGGGTTAAAGACTTTACTAATCCTATATAATAAAAGAGAAACATGTAAATTGACCATCCCTCCACTACGCTCACCAGCCAATCAGGCGTGGGTATGCAAATTAACCTGACAAAGATGGCGGGTTAATTTGCATGCACAGGCACCAGGCAGAGAGCAGAGCGGGAGAGCTGGCGGAGAGTGGAGGGGCTTGGAGAACTTGGCTCCCGAAGCCGCCAGACGGAGAGCAGAGAGGAAGAGCTGGTGGCTTGGAGGACTTGGCAGAGTGGGAGGCCGTGGGACGGAGACAGAGCAGGAAGGGAAAACCAAGAGCGCGGGGAGCACCAGGAATTCTGGGAATAGTAGTTCTGGTGGCAGCCCCAGGACTGGAAGCGGAAGCCCAGAGCGCAGAGAGCACCAGGAATGCTGGGAATCATAGTTCTGGTGGCAGATGGATCTCCTCGGCCAGTGATGGCGAACCTTTTGAGCTCGGCGTGTCAGCATTTTGAAAAACCCTAACTTAACTCTGGTGCCGTGTCACATATAGAACTTTTTTGATATTTGCAACCATAGTAAAACAAAGTCTTATATTTTTGATATTTATTTTATATATTTAAATGCCATTTAACAAAGAAAAATCAAGCAAAAAAATGAGTTCGCGTGTCACCTCTGACACACGTGTCATAGGTTCGCCATCACTGTCCTAGACACTAGAACAAAGTGAGCCTGGAGCAAGTTACTGTTGCGGTAGGGGATGGAGGGAAAGCAAAGGTGAGAGACATAAGTATAATCAGAGTGTCTAGGAAAAATTGAAGGGAAGATATCCTAAAACTTCCAGGAAATCTCCACCAATGAAGCAAAGAAAAAAATTGCCTCTATTATTCTGTGAGCAACAAACCAAACTGCGTTGGGGTCTCAGACAATTCGCTCATATGACTGCAAAGAAAGACAGAAACTCCTGGATTGGAGAGGGCTCCCCTGAGGGCTCCCAGATTGGAGAGGGTGCAGGTCGGGCTGAGGGACCCCTACATCCCCCAGTGCACGAATGTCATGCACCGGGCCTCTAGTCTAGGTATAATGTTCTAAAGGATAGAAGATATCCTATTCTTTTCTGATTAGACCAAATCAAAGAGCCTGAGTTAGTTTGGAAGCTACACACCAAAAGGACGAGAGTTACAAGCCAGTTGTTTTGTAGAGCATTTCTCAACTTGGGCTGTGTGATGCTTCCTCATGATTAGATTAGGTTATGCATTCTTAGCAGGAGTACCACAGAAGTGACCCTGTGATCTTCTTGGTACATAGTATCAGGAGTTGATTTGTTCCATTACCATTGAAGTTACTTTTAATGACTTGGTTAAGATAGTGTCTGCCAGGTTTCTGCATTTTAAAATAGCTATTTTGGGGGAGTTCATTTGAGATCTTGCTCTCTGGCATATGTTGTCATTTTAGCTCAAATAAACTCTTAAAATCCTCATAGAACAAGCTTGCAAACAGCAGATTACCCACCCCTCGCCTGGCCTATGAACCTGAGTCAGGCTCCTTAGGGGCACCATCCATCCTTTTTTCCATCAGAAACCAGGGGTGAGGCCACGTAGGTGTTCTGCATGTGTGTAGGTTGCAGTGAACTCCTCGGATGGTGGAGGGGCAATCCCGCAGTGGAGCAGAGTGGCTCTGTTTGTGCCACTCTGAGAGGAGCGCGGGGTACCTTTAGTCCCCCACTTTTAAATGAGTAGACAGCCCAGGACCACTAGACATTTGAGGAAGTGATTAATATGAAACAGAAAAAACAACTTGGAGAAAGAAAGGACTATTCAAGGAGAAGAAAAGGACTATCATTAATATCTTCAGAGAAATATTTTAAAAGATATTTTTAATGCCAGCTTTATTGAGGTTTAATACAGTGAGTTTTAGTATATTCTGTGTAGCCACCACAACCACTAATAAAAAAAGGATATTACAACCATGAAATAACAAAATACTAATATTAAAAACAGGCTATTCAGAAAAATTTTAAAGCTCTTGAAAATTAAAATATCAAGGCAAAATAAAAATATTGACAGATTTTGGAAGACAATCCTTATTAGGCTGGAAGACAGAGTTAACTAAAGTGCCCCAAAAGTAGAGTAAAAAAGACAAAATGATGGAAACTGAAAAAGAAAAGAAGAAAAATCAATCCAGGACATCCAACATCCAAATAATGAGCTCCAGAAAAAGGGTACACAGAAAACAGAGAGGAGGAAATCATAATTGTTATAGTTCAAGATAATTTCCCCATACAAGGGACAAGAGTTCTGAGACTAATTAAAGCACATCATAATGAAATTTCATAACACTGAGAGAAAGAGAAGTCCCTACCTCCAGGAGAAGATGCAGTTCCAAGTAAAAGGCTAAGAATCAGAATGGGACTGATTCAGCAGTTACACTGGAAGCCAGAAGGCAAGGGGAGCAGGACCTTCAACATTCTCAGGGACTCTCCTAACCCAGAAGTCATACTCAGCCCAATACCATCAACTGTGCAAGAGAATAAAAACATTCCTACACAAAAAAGAACTACTTAACACTCCCTTGTTCAGAAAGCTAGTAGATGAGGATGTGGCCATTTGAAGGAATACACCAAGAAAGAGGAAGAATGGGATCCGACCAAGAGAAAATGAATCCCCAGATAATGGAGATTCTCAGATGCTACCTGCACAGGAGACCTAGAGAATACCAAGTTTACCAGTAGATTGAAGCAGATCAGAAGGCACTAGGAAACAGGCTTTGAGAACATGAACTGATAGAATACCCATGTAACTGAACATATTGAATGTTTGTGTGAGAAGAGATTTAGAAAATCTGGGGTTAAATTAATGGTAAAAGACAAAAATATTAAGTAAAAGAAAAGTACCAATTTAATGGTTAACGCCAAAGAAAATGTCTAATAAAGGAAACGTAAACATGGAATACTACACGGCCAAGCTATGAATAAAATTTCTATAATAATGAACATATCAAGAGTGATCTAAAAAAACTGAAACAAGGGAGGACAAGAGATGTGCAGGTATAGACAAGGACAGGAAGGTGAAAGACAACTAAAGTCTCATAGTCTACAGTGGGAATAAAATGGATATAACCTAAACCTAAAAACTCAAAGAATATAAACACAGTCAGACTAAAAGGAAATCTGGATTAGAGTATGATGTCAGATTTACTGCTTATTCTGAGACCTGGGACAAGACTCTGGGCCTCTCTAAATCTCAATTCCTCTTTCCACCCTACCTTTCTTCATAGCTTATCGTGAGGATCCAAAGACTTAGCAAAGAAGACTATGCCTAGTAAACCGC